CCCTGAAGTGCAGATTTTTTCGTTCCTGAAATTGCAATTTTTTCCATTCCTGAAATTGCATTGTTCCTGAAATTGTAGCTTTTTCATTCCCAAAATTGCCATTTTTTTTCCAGGTGGTGGATGGGAGAGCAGGTAGCTTGAAACCCCACGGCTGCTCAGAGGACTAAATGATAGCCCAATTGCAGCAGAAATTTGGGGCTGAGAGGGGACAAAAATTGGGAAAAGACCCCAATTTTGTGTTCAGAACTCCACCGTGGGTATCACACTGAAACCACATGAAATTTGTGGAGGTGGAGTGGACCCACAAGGATCATTGAATCCAGAAAAAAAAAAAAAATAGCAACCAAGGCCTTGTTTCTCAAGGGCTGCAGGAAGGCAATTGTGGAAGCAGGATGGGATCTACAGATTTTATGCCACAATATAGAGGGAAAAAAAATCCCTTTTCACACCTCAGCCTTCAGCACAAAACCATCCTGAGTTTCCAATTTCCAGGCGCTCACTCAGGGAGGGAATGAGAGCACAGGGAGGAGAGCAGGGGCAGAGCCAGCATCAATGAGCACATTAAGTCCTGCTGCAAAGCAAAACAAACCCACTGAGGTGGCACGGGCTGTGAGAGAGCACAATGCTAATTAGCACCCGAGTTAATGAGTGTTTTCATGGCACTGGAGCCTCTGCTGAAGCTCCTTAAGGTGGCCACAGGCTCTGGGAATTCATCTCCTGTTCTGGTCTTTTCCACCCATCGGAAGCAGAGGCTGATTCTGGGAGAAGCTCCTGCTCCCTCAGGTCCAGCCACAGGAGTCTCTCAGATCCTTTTTAATTTTAAAGCAGAAGAATAAACCACAAATAAAACTAAATTCTCTCCCTCTCCTGGGCTCACGTGCAGGGGCTGGTCAGGAGGCACAGCTGCCTTCACCTACCAGCTGGGGCAATTCTCTCCAGGTTTTGTGTCACAAGCTTGGCCTAAAGCTCACAATCAAAATGAAGTTCTTGAAGAAACCCCAGCCTTGGTGCAAACAGATCTTTTACCCCCAAGTTTTGGAGGTTTCTCCAACACAAATGAAAACACCAAGAGAAAGAACTGCTGCAGCTTCCCCCAAACCATCCCCTCAGGAAATTGGTTTTACAGAGGTTTGGATCTGGCTGGAAACCTTTGCCTTTGGGCAAATTCTCCTCAAAGTTCCTGATGTATCTGTCTCTTAAGTGCTTTTTTAATCACTGAGTATTCATCTGTCACTCAGGCTTCAATGCAGTCATTCTTCCTTCTTTATGCTGCCTATGGTTATGTATATCAGAGCAGAAATAACTGAAGAATAGATATCTTATTCATTCTATTTTCAAATGCAGTAGGGCTCTATTTTTGTTAGAGGGAAATATACTTTTTTTTTCATCACATGTCAAACACAGCAGTCCGAATAATTGCTATTAAACTTAATTGGCAAAGTTCAGCTTCAACAGCAAGAGAAGTGAAGAGAAAAAAGGCTACTGGTGCCTGGAAGTGTTATCATTAGTTCTTTGTCTTTAGCACATCGTGTGGAGTGTTAAAGGCTTTTCACTCTGAATTAAACTCATTTTGTTCACCAAAAAAAAAAAAATCCGATGAAGGTGAGGAATGCCTAGCCCGATTTTTAAACTAAAAAATGAAAGGAAGCTCTTGCTTGTCTGCTGCTGACCTTTGGTGGGTGTAATTGGAAAAATTGTCTGGGAAAAAGCTGTAAGTAAAATCAGAGGCGCTTGGGAATTAAAATGAATGTATTTCCCTTCTCATCCTGCCTTGAAATGCTTCAGGGAGCTGTTTGAGCTCCTTTATCTCCCCTTGTGAGTTGGAGGAGCCTTGTTCTCCCCGGTGGCACTGGAATGTGAGCCCAGGGTTGTGCTGGGGCTGCCCAAAGCCGCAGAGAGCAGCAGGGTGGAACCAAGGGGGAATGGCTGGGAAGGGGCAGAGCTCTGCCCCAGCCACCCACCAGCCTCTCCATCCTGGAGCCAAACTCTCCTTGTGTGCCCTGCCAGCAGCCCAGCCCCTGGGATACCTCACCAGCCCCTGGGATACCTCACCAGGCCCTGGGATACCTCACCAGCCCCTGGGATACCTCACCAGCCCCAGGGATTGCTCACCAGCCTCAAGGATTGCTCACCAGCCCAAGGGATTCCTCAGCAGCCCCAAGGATTGCTCACTAGCCCCAGGGATTCCTCACCAGCCCCAAGGATTGCTCACCAGCCCAAGGGATTCCTCAGCAGCCCCAGGGATTGCTCACTAGCCCCAGGGATTGCTCACCAGCCCCAGGGATTGCTCACCAGCCCAAGGGATTCCTCAGCAGCCCCAGGGATTGCTCACTAGCCCCAGGGATTGCTCACCAGCCCCAAGGATTGCTCACCAGCCCCAGGGATTGCTCAGCAGCCCCAAGGATTGCTCACCAGCCCCTGGGATACCTCACCAGCCCCTGGGATACCTCACCAGCCCCTGGGATTGCTCACCAGCCCCAGGGATTGCTCACCAGCCTCAAGGATTGCTCACCAGCCCAAGGGATTCCTCACCAGCCCATTCTCTCTTTGCAGGTGGTCGGGGAGTGGCGGTTCAGCCGCATCCACTGTGATATCTTTGTCACCCTGGATGTCATGATGTGCACTGCCAGCATCCTCAACCTCTGTGCCATCAGCATCGACAGGTGAGGGCCCTGTGCCACCACCAGGCTGTGCCAGACCCGGGCTGGCAGGTCCCAGCCACCTCCGTGTGGCCAGAAAATGGTGGGACATTTTTGAAGAGCAGCTTGGAGGATCTCGATGAGCTGAGAGCAGGGAATTGTGTCAGGAGGCTCAGCAACGCTGGTGCTGGGAACACAGCTGGAATTTCCTCTGTTTTCCCCTGGCTTTGCTCTTCTCTCTGCATTCTGGGATATGCAGCCGGGGTTGCTGGCAAGGGTGGAAGGAGCTGACCCAGCCTCACCCCTCCTGGTGTGGCTGCAGCCACCCTGGCATGGTGAGCTGTGCTGGCTGGGCAGGAGTTGGGTGCTGGCAGGGTGACAGCAGCCTGGGGGTGTCCTGGCAGCCCTGGCAGGGTGACAGCAGCCTGGGGTGTCCCCTGCAGGTACACAGCCGTGGCCATGCCCATGCTCTACAACACCCGCTACAGCTCCAAGCGCAGGGTCACCGTCATGATCGCCGTGGTCTGGGTGCTCTCCTTTGCCATCTCCTGCCCGCTCCTCTTCGGCCTCAACAACACAGGTGAGGGCTGTGCCACCTGCAGCTGGCTCCTGCTGTCCCCCTGGGTCCCCAGGTAGGCAGGCATGAAGGTGGCATCAGGTCTGAGGTGTATTTTAAGTGTTCCCTCCCTCTGCCCCCTCACTGTTTTCATGCTGGTTCTGGGTCTGTTTTGTCTCCAGCTGTTCCAGGGCAGGGTTTCAGACTCACCAGAACTGATGTGATGTAGAAGTTCACACAACACCAACATGTGTAACCTTAACCACTACAAATTGAAAATCTTTCTTCTATTAAAACACACAAAGAGGAAAGCCATGGGGCACAACCTTCCCTGAGGCAGCAGAGAAAGGACTGGCAGTTCAGGCAGCAGTTTCCCGGGAACACTGGGCTGGATGCAGCAGGGGATCAGCAGTCCTTAGCTTTGAGGCAAGGAGTAGCCAGGAATTCCCTACAGCCCAAGGGGAGGTGGCCCCCTCAGCAGGGACAGCAACCACACAGAATCACAGAATAATGGGGTTGGAAGAGAGCTCTAAGATCATCAAGTCCAACCCATGCCCCAACACCTCACTAGACTACAGCACCAAGTGCCACGTCCAGCCTATTTTAAACACACCCAGAGATGGTGATTCCACCACCTCCCTGGGATGACAATTCCACTAATCCTGAACGGCTTTCTCTTCCAGATGAGAAGGAATGCATCATTGGCAACCCTGCCTTCGTGGTGTACTCCTCCATTGTGTCCTTCTACGTGCCCTTCATTGTCACGCTGCTGGTGTACGTGCAGATCTACATCGTGCTGCGGCGGCGCAGGAAGCGTGTCAGCACCAAGCGCAGCAGCCACGTGCTGGACTCGGACACGCAGGCGCCCCTGAAGGTACCAGCCTCGCTTCCTCCCCTGCCCTGCTCCCCTGCCCCACACCACCCACCTGGGCCACAGCTCCCAGGGGTGGTGTGGCAGCCTGGGCTCCCAGCTCACTGCCTGGGCTCCCAGCTCACAGCCTGGGCTCCCAGCTCATTGCCTGGGCTCCCAACTCACTGCCTGGGGTCCCAGCTCACTGTCTGGGCTCCCAGCTCACTGTCTGGGCTCCCAGCTCGCTGCCTGGGGTCCCAGCTCACTGCCTGGGGTCCCAGCTCACTGTCTGGGCTCCCAGCTCGCTGTCTGGGGTCCCAGCTCGCTGCCTGGGGTCCCAGCTCACTGTCTGGGCTCCCAGCTCACTGTCTGGGCTCCCAGCTCACTGCCTGGGGTCCCAGCTCACTGCCTGGGCTCCCAGCTCACTGTCTGGGGTCCCAGCTCACTGCCTGGGCTCCCAGCTCACTGTCTGGGGTCCCAGCTCACTGCCTGGGCTCCCAGCTCACTACCTGGGCTCCCAACTCACTGTCTGGGCTCCCAGCTGCACAGCCTGGGCTCCCAGCTCGCTGTCTGGGGTCCCAGCTGCACAGCCTGGGCTCCCAGCTCACTGTCTGTGGTCCCAACTCACAGCCTGGGCTCCCAACTCACTGCCTGGGGTCCCAGCTCGCTGCCTGGGGTCCCAGCTCACTGTCTGGGGTCCCAGCTCACTGCCTGGGGTCTCAGCTCACTGCCTGGGCTCCCAGCTCACTGCCTGGGCTCCCAGCTCACTGTCTGGGGTCCCAGCTCACTGTCTGGGCTCCCAGCTGCACAACCTGGGCTCCCAGCTCGCTGTCTGGGGCTCCTCGGGCCCCCCTGGATCTCAGGGCTGTGCCAGCAGCAGATCTGCACCAGGAGCTGCTGCATTGACCCCGAGCATTGCCTTGGGCTGGGCTGGGCTAGCCAAGGACAGAGGCTGCAGCAGTGTCTGGGTCAGTCCTGCAGAATCACAGGCTCGAGGAACGGTTTGGGTCAGGAGGGACACTAAAGCCCATGGCAGGGACACCTTCCATTATCCCACATGGCTCCAAGCCCCATCCAACCTGGCCTTGGACACTCCCAGGGATGGGGCAGCCACAGCTGCTCTGGGCACCCTGTGCCAGGGCCTCCCACCTCACAGGGAGGAATTTCTCCCTAATATCTGATCTAAACCCACCCTCTTTCACTTAAGGCCGTTCCCTGTGCCCCTCTCCAGCTCTCCTGGACCCCCCTTTGGGCGCTGTCAGGTGTCCCCAGGGTCGGTGGCACTGCCTGGGGTGCCAGCCCCTCTCTGGGAAGGACAGCTCTGCAGGGATGTGCTGTCCCCATGGGAGCTGCGTGTCAGGGAGCCCAGCTGGGCGGGCTGGCTGTGAATCCACTTGTCAAACCACGGCTCTGGTGGCATGGCAGCACAGCCAGGGGGATGCACAGCCAGGGGGATGCACAGCCAGGGGGACGCGCAGCCCCCGAGGCTCCAGCTCCACACGGTGCTGCCCGCAGAGGAGGCAGCCAGACAGGGACACACCAACACAGCAGAGCTCCGTGGCCTCCTCCCTCTGCTGAGCAGCACGGTGGGCAGCAGCCTCCATCCCTGCTCCTCCACGCCACTTCTCCATCATCCACTTCTCCATCCGGCCCGGCACCTCAGCCGCGCTGATGAATTCCTGATTCATTCCTTTGTATTCCCACGTGCCTCCCTTACCAGCTTCCCTTCCCAACCCCTCTCTGCCTGTGTAACCTCTGAGCTGGTGCTTGCCCCTTAGGACAAATGCACTCATCCAGAAGACGTCAAGCTCTGCACAGTTATTGTGAAGTCCAATGGGAGCTTCCAAGTTAATAAGCGCAAAGTGGTGAGTGTTAAAGAGAAGTGGGAGCTTTCCAGAGCCTTCAGCCTTCCCCTTCTCCCTCAGGACGTGAGGTTAATTTATGTAGGGTGGGAGAAAAATAAACCTAAGAGCAAAGGTTACCATTCGATCTCGAAATTTAAATAGTCTTCCCATTCCTTGGAGTGAAGCAGGGGGTTTAAGCTCACAGAGCTCACAAAGCCAGATTAAGCTCACCGAAAGATCAGCTCTAAAAGCCACGGCATTTGAACATTTTTGTGCCTTTGATTTCCTTCTCCTCTCTGTTATTTAAATCTTGGACTGCATTGGCTTTGATGGGTTTTGGTTGTTGATTCCAGTTTTATTTATTTGCATTCTGAAAACCTGAATAAAATCTGTAGGGAGCGGGGACAGCGTCTCCCCCATTTCTGAGCCTCTTTGTGCCAAAAAGGAGAATCCTCCAGTGCAGCTCTGTCAATCCCATGTGCCCAGTATATCCAAACACAGCAGAGCCCTTTCTCCAGGTGCCACGCAGGGAGGGAGAAGAGGGATTCACTGTTCTCCGGCATCGTCCAGCTTCACTCTGTAAGGAATGTTCGTTGCTCCTCTCTGTGTATTTACCTGTCATTATGTTGTGGACATTTGATTCTTGTCCAGGAGGCAGAGAGTCACATAGAAGAGATGGAAATGGAGATGGTGTCCAGTACCAGTCCCCCTGAGAAAGCGGCCCTCAAACCCACAGCACCAAGTAACCACCAGTTGATTGTGCCAGTTGCTTCTAATCGGGGCAACAACTCTACCCTGCAGGCACCCCTGAGCAGCCCTGGGAAGGTGGAGAAGAATGGCCATGCCAAAGAATCCCACCACACAGCCAAGGTCTTCGAGATCCACTCCCTGCCCAACGGCAAGACGAGGAACTTGCTCAAGGCCGTGATCAGGAGGAAAATGTCCCAGCAGAAGGAGAAGAAAGCCACCCAGATGCTGGCCATCGTGCTCGGTGAGAGCGTGCCCTGCCTGCCCTGGGGTCCCTGCAGAAATCCCAGTCCCCGTGGCCCCTGCAGGTTGATTTTCCACCAGCCCCTCTCAGAACTCATTTCCCTTCGTGCATTAGGGGATAGCAGGCAAGGGCTGCCCATGGAGGGGTTCCTCCTTCCCAGCCATGCACAGCTGGCAGTGCTGCACTGAGGGTGCCCAAAGCTGCCCTTCTCGGGGGCATCTGAGCCCCCAAAACCAGGGAAGAGCTCCTGGGCTTTCTGGAGCAAAAGGCAGCAGAGCTCAGCAGAGCTGGCCCCTCTGAAGGGCAGAGTTTCTGCTGTGTCTGGGCTCATTCCTCGAGCAGAGGAGTTCTTTAGTAGCAGGGCAGGATGCAGACCAGGGCACAGCACACAAACACAAAGCTCATTCCTCTGGGAAATGCATTCCCCTTCCACCAAAGGGAACCTTGCTGCTCTCCCAGCCCGAGAATCTGCCCAGCTTTCAGCAATCAAAATCCTCCTGTCTCCTTTTCCCCCCTAGGTGTTTTCATCATCTGCTGGCTCCCCTTCTTCATCACTCACATCCTGAACATGCACTGCGACTGCAACATCCCGCCGGCCATGTACAGCGCCTTCACGTGGCTCGGCTACGTCAACAGCGCTGTCAACCCGATTATCTACACCACCTTCAACATCGAGTTTCGCAAGGCTTTCATGAAGATCCTCCACTGCTAAAGCCACAAACAGCACCCGCATTTCTTTAGGGACGGAGGGGGAAGAGGAAGCGATGCCATTCATGCACGGCGGGGCGGCCGGGGAGGGGCTGGAGCTCTTGAGCCGGGCAGCGCTCGGTGCCCGAGCACCTGGTGGGGATGGAGCGAGGCAGGAGGGTCTCTCACCCCGCTGGGTGACCTCTGGACCGGCCCCAAGGGCGCTTTTCAGAGCCACGCTCACGCCGTGTTGGAAGTGGAAGTGCGAGGGTCGCGGCGCTCTCGCTCGGCTCTCGCCCGTGGCCGCCCGGCCTGGAGTGCACTGGACACGCTGGACACAGAGTGGCCACGGGGCCAGCAGGAGGTAGCGCTGGGCCAGAGGCACAACTCTCACCAAAGACAAGGCCGTCCTTCCCGCTTGGCAGCAGGAGCCACACGGGGCCTCTGGGAGCTCCGTGCAATAGCTTTGCCTTCACCTCGAGCTGACTCACCCGGTGTTTAACTGCTGAAGCCTTCAGAAATTACATAAAAACCAACCCAAAAAAACTTCCAGAGGTCCCCAGGCGGGTCGGGAAGGTTCTGCCACCCACAGACCCTGCAGCAGAGTGAGCCTACGAGCCATGGGTGGAAGGGAGAAGGGGGCATCAGATTCACATCAAACCATCGGCGTAAACAGGATGGATTTTGGAGCCCCAAGCCAAAAAAAAAAAAAAAAAAAAAAAGAGATGGAGAGGAAAATTCAAGGAGTGGAACCTTGTCTTGCATGGTGTACATCCAACAGGACCCCCTCATCTCCCATCAGCGATTTCTGCCCACCAGCAGCTCATCTCCAGGCTCTGCCCAGGGTGACAGCAGGGGAGGGGTGGCAGCGTGGTGAATGTACAGACACGAGGACACTGTGCCAGGGGAGGCACCCTGAGCACCCAGCCGGGCCAGGGCTGGTTCTTCTCACCTAAATCAGGGGTCCCAAGGAGCACCTCGGCTCTGATTTGCCTCTGTCTCTCCCCAGAGAGTGCAGAATAACATTGTGCCTAATTTAAATCAACAGTCAAGGAGATAAAACTGTGCATTTTGGAAAAAGCCAGAATAAAACCCCAAGAAAGCCCCTACCTGGACCAGCTCCTGTGTCCAAGCTGGACTCTGGGAAGGTCTGGATGTTCCCAGCATCCCTTACTCTCTGCTATCTATTTTTCCATGGGTTCTAGGGATGGAAAGCCCGTGAGAGCATCATTTCACCACGCTGAATCTGGCACTGCCAAACCCACGCTGTACGTGCTATTTGTACTCAGTTCACGTGATACTTTGCAATATCTCTGTAAATAAAACACAGCAAGGTGAATAAAACCACGTGGAAATAGGTCTGGCTAGAAATTCCTGCAGGATGTGGAGCAGCAGAGGGTTGCAATAGCCATAAACAGGGGCAGGCTCCCAGGGTGCAGTTTCCTGCTGTTTTCTAAAGGCGTAAAAAACACAAATGGGAGAGCAATAGAATCCCTTTTTTTCTCTATGCAGTTTGTGGAATATTCACTCAGTTTCCGCTTCAGATGAGGTGCAGATCTGCCAAGGTTTCCTCTAATTCCCTGGATTTCCTGCCACCAGAGCATCTCCTGTGCTGGTAGGATGCGTTCCAGCTCTGATTCAGGAAGAGATTACAGCAAGCAGCTCTGGCACATAATCTCAGCTGTTTTCTAAAATTGAAGCAGCAGTCCCACCTTAATCCCCAGGTTTCTGTTCCAAACCTGGCATTCCTGGAAGGGGCTGGAATCCAGGGCTTTGATTTTCAGCCCACAGCCTTGTGTAACATTTGAACCTGGCTCTTCATTGCTAAAAACTGCAAAATTGGGAAATTTTGCAGCTTGAGAGATCTCAGGCACACATGAGCTGTTCTTTCTTCCCCATGGTTTTAACCAAACAAATTCACTCAGTGATGGGAATCAACTCAGACTTGTACCCCAAAACTCACAGAATGATGTAAAGGCAGGAGGTTTTTGGGCACAAAAATAGCAACAAATTACTGGTGTGGTTTTTAATGTATTTACAAGCAGAAAGATCCATTTGACTTGGGGAATTAACAGGTGGGGAGATGAACAAAAATAGCAAATATTACATATATAGACAAAAACGCTTTAAAGCATTGGGAAGTTGCCATAGATGATGTTTGCCCTGTGCTAAAGCCTGGTGTGAGCCCTCAGGAGAAGTGGAATAATAATATCCCTCAGGGTAATGTGGATAATACATTAACTTTGTGCCATAATTTTACTTTGTGTCCAGTTTTAACCCAAGGAAAATCCTCATCTCCAAGGCTGTGTGCCTCGCTCCCATTTTTTTTTTTTTTTTTCTGAATCTAGAAGCAGAACTTTCTAGCTCAACCCACCTGAAAAACTCTTCCAGAATGCCACGGAGGGAAAAAGAGCTGCAGGAAAAGGCCTCTGTCCTTCATGTGGAGCAAAAATGCGCAGGTGTGATATCCCAAATTTGCTGTGAGGAGTTACCTGCAGCCCACTGGTCACTCCCAAGACACTTCGAGCTGCTCCTTCCCAGCGCTGCAGGCTGAATTTTGGGCGTGTGAAATCCCCAGTGCCCTCGGGGAGGTGGCAGTGCCAGCTCCGGCCAGCTCTGCAGTTTTCCTTCCCCACGAAGCTCCTGCACTTCCAGACAGCAAATAAAGCACTTTGAAAGCCAGACCTGAGCCTCGCCCTTCTGGAGACAGCACCAAACCTCATCCTCACCTCTGGCTTTGAAGGAGTGGAGCAGTGCCCAGAGCAAGGCTGGCACCAGGAGAGCAGTGGCTGCGTGGGAGCTGCTCGGAGGAACTCCTCGGAGGAACTCCTTGGAGGAACTCCTCGGAGGAACTCACTCCTCATAGGAACTCCTTAGAGATGCTCGGAGGAACTCCTCGTAGGAACTCCTCCAGGAACTCCTTGGAGGAACTCCTCGGAGGAACTCATTCCTCATAGGAACTCCTCAGAGATGCTCGTAGGAATTCCTTGTAGGAACTCCTCAGAGGAATTCCTCGTAGGAACTCACTCCTCATAGGAACTCCTCAGAGCTGCTTGTAGGAACTCCTCATAGGAACTCCTTGTAGGAACTCCTCGTAGGAACTCCTCAGAGCTGCTCATCGGAACTCCTTGTAGGATCTCCTCAGAGCTGCTTGTAGGAATTCTTTGTAGGAACTCCTCGGAGGAACTCCTCGGAGGAACTCCTCAGAGCTGCTCATTGGAACTCCTTGTAGGAACTCCTCAGAGCTGCTCGTAGGAATTCCTTGTAGGAACTCCTTGTAGGAACTCCTCGGAGGAACTCCTCGGAGGAACTCCTTGTAGGAACTCCTCGGAGGAACTCCTCAGAGCCCATCCACAGCTCTGAGCCTGGCAAACCCACACCTCACTGCTCCCTCCACTCTGGAAAAAAGAAACCTCTGCTTCCTCAAGGACTTGTGCTGGCAGGACATGCTGGTGATGGGAAGGGCACTGAGCTGGTTTTTAAAAACACCTTAACAAGAAGATTTCATTTCTTTGTTCCTCCAGAACTTCAGAGCCTTGCTCTAGTCCCTCTTTTGTGATTCATTATTTATAACTGAAGCTTTCCTTCTGCTTATTGAGTCTTCCTGTTCCTGCTTTCCCTCCCTGTGATTCCCAGCTTGCTGAAGCCCTGGGTGGGGATCTCTGCACCCCCAAACAGGTTTGAATTAAAAGCCAGTGAATTCTGCCTGCACTGTATTTGCTGCTTGCCTGCTTGCTCCCACTCCACAGAACTGTTTATCTTCCTGGCTGAAGAATAAATTAACTCCAGTAGGTCTAACCAGCTTATCCAATCCTGCTGAAATAATAATAAAAAAAATAAAATAAAAAAAAAAAAGAGGAAAACAGGAAAATAAAGCCACTACCTCTTGTGGTGAAAATCTCCAGAGCAAACACGACTCCTTGGGAGTCAGGAATGTATAAAATGCCCATCACAGGTACATGTGACACCAACCAATGTCTTCATGTAATTAAACAGAGACTTGCACAAGCCGCCCTGATGTCGATCTGATTGTTTTGTTTTGGTTTCCCCCAGAGCTCAGCTCCAGGGAGCTGCTGTGGTTCTGCTGCAGAGCTCGAACACAGAGCAGAAGCTGCCTTCACAGGAGATTTGGCTTTTTTCTGCCCCTGCTTTCCAGACTACTTCCCTTTTTCCTCCCTCACCCCAGTCTATCCTTGAGAATTCTGGTGTTTGTCTTGCCTGCAGCCACGAGAGTCAGACACGAGACAGGGAAGATGCAGAAAGGCACAGACAGAAAGGAAATGGTCTGAAATGTCTCTCCTCTCCCGGGCAGAAGTGGGCTGGGGAGGATGGGAGGAGGAAGGGGTGGCAGGCAGAGATGCCCAGCTGAATTTATGCTGGATGACTTAATTGTTTTATTTTGGAATATTTTCATTTATGTTTTATCAAGCTACACTCTCAGGTTTGGTGTTTGTGCAGGTGGACCCTCAGCCAGGCTTAATCAGCACTTTTAAAATAAAGATTATTTTCTTTATGCAAAAGAAGAAGAAAAAATAATACAAATAAAACCAATCCCACTGCTGGGAAAGAAAGCTGTCTGTCCATCTCCAATAATGGACAAGCTAAAATTTCAGTTTAATGGCATTTCAGATCCAAAGGTCTGCTCAGCTTTGAGCCAACACAGAATAATCCCTGCCCCAAAGTCCTCAGTTTATGCAGAAACCAGAATCTCCAGAACTGATGAGTTCAAATGAGGCCGAATTCTCCCTGTGGGATGATTTACCTCAGTGCCACCGTGACTGAGGGAAAATTAGGAGCTCCAATGCCCCCTCCCCTCCCAAGCACACCCAAATAAATGATATTTTCAGATCAAACAGGATACTCCAGGTTGTTTTCTGCCTGTCTGGCCTGAGCCTGCCAGGATCAAAGGCAGCGACTCTGAGGTTCGCCCTTCCAGCCAAATTCCATTTCTAAGCCTGTGGACAAAAACCATTCACAGCAGCCAGAAGAGATAAAAGGAATGATCTGCCCATCTCCTGGGGCACCTGAGTGAGTCCTCTGCTCCAGGTGAGGCCTGACACATCCGTGGCTGTGCTTTCTTCTGCACACCCAGGGAAAAATAAAAAAGAGAAAACCAGTTACTCTTGTTAAATTAACTCCCTGTCTTTAATCAAAGCTTCTTTTAATAATTCCAACTGTTCCCCCAAGTTTTTCTGACGATACCAGCCTGTCTGCTTCATAAAGAGCTTTTGACTCACAAATAACAACTTTCCTCACCAAAGAAAGAGTGATCACAGTGGACTAAACATCATTAAGGCGCCATGAATAATTAACAGACCTAGAAATGCCTTTAAAGAGACTTAAGAAGCAAAGCAAAACCCTTTCCAAGCAGAGGAAAACATTGTGCCTCCCCAAGCTGCCATGCTGGGCCCGGGAAGAAGGAGTGGGCTAATGAGAGTGAGTGAGCACATTTATCAGAGCAGCTCTGCTCCCTGCTGCCATCCTCCCTGGCACGCAATCAGCCTGATGAGCCTGCCAGGGGCACGGCACCCCCAGCTCCTCGTGCCAGGCTGGGGAGGATGGAGCAGCACGGGATTGTCCTTGGCCTCGGTGAAAAGAGGATTTTCCTGGCTTTGCCAGGGGGGTTTGGTGACAAAAAGGGGCACGAGGTGAAAAGTGTTTTTTCCTGGTTGTGCCCAAGCAAAGGGGAGTTGGTGAC